TTAAATCTGCCATTCGCGGTCTCAGCTGATCTGTTTTTAATGGCTTAAAGGCCACATTACAGACCACTTGGCAGGGTGTTAAATGGGACATCAGCACTGAAATATTGAGAAAGTCACCATTCAAATATGGACAGCATAACTGTTTGGGTGTTTTTTTTTAAGTAATGGTTTGGTTAAGGTAAACAAGATTCCTTCTGTGCAACAAACTGGTATTTCTCTCAATTTATTATGTGCACTTTTAAGGATTACTGTCAGTTCAGTTGGCTTAATTATATAGACCTGCCAGGATGTAACACAATCTGAAAGAATGGCAGATTGCAATGTCATAAATGCTACTGGCTTCCCCCTCCACACAGGGCTCTCTAGGCAGTTCTTTTTAGGGGTCGAAGAGCAAGAGCCACCCAGGTGAGGGCAAGGTCTCTTTCCACTGCAATGCTCCCCTTCCCTCCTTCTCACAACCAAATGCAGCCTTTTTCCTGACCCTCAAAAGGAAAAGCGAGCATTTCTGCACCTGCAAAAGGTGTGCCTTCTGAAGCAATGCACTCTTCCGCCAATAAACTGAAGTGTGAACAGGCAGTTTGCTGGAGAAAAGGAAAGCACATTTTCAAAACAATGTGCTTGCACAAGGGCACGCTTTCTCAACTGCACACATGAACTCAAAAGAGAAGTTCAGGAAACTGGAAAAAAGAATGTGCTTTCTGTGCATATTCAGGGGTGCAAACAGGACCTATCTGCATGATTTATGAACAGGAAGGACATTCCTCATATATCCCTAGCCTTCTCCCTTTCCCATGAGTCCGGAGCTGCTGCTGGAAAGAAAAGGACTGGTACTTTTTCTTGGCAACACCTACGCCGCACTGTGTGTTCCTCGCTTCCTCAAGAGGTTTGAAGGCCACAGTGCGAGAAAGCTCCACATTTAGTGGGGGGTGAGGAGACCTATGCAAGGTAAGCTGCAGCAGTCATGCAAACGAGTCAGGCTGGTTTGTCTCCAAGTCAGAAATCCACATACGGAAACCAACTTGTCCAGAGATAAAACCGCACTTCAAGTCACTGTGCTGGACGGGCACCAAGTGCAGGACTCAAACCAAATAGCTGCACAAAATATTTAGGCACTGAGCAAATGTCATAAAAAAGCAATGTAAACACATTAATCTTCTTATCCAAAATATTGTGCTGCAGCCTCTGGGAACAACATAAAGCATTCAAGGACAGGGCAGAACAAAGGAGGGAATGAAGACACACACACACACACACACACACACACACACACACAGAGGGAGGGAGGGAGCGTGCGAGCCACTTTTTAAATACAACAGTTTGACTCAGCATGCTTCAGGCTTTACTGATCCTGTACTTGATGAATAATCCACGGCAAAAGTGAAGTCCATGAGCAAAGCACTGGTAGGACTACTTCAGAGAAACGGGAAACTGCCTGGGTTAACCAAAGCACAGATCCTTCCATGCAAACCGGTCTGAGCCTTAAGATCATCTTGGAAGAACCTTGGTCTGAGTCACCAGCTCAGCCCATCAGAGAATGAGCAGAGCAAGCAGGGCCTTTGCAATGGGGGCACCACAGGCCTGGCATATTTTTTCTTAAAGATCTGCCAGGCTTTCATATGATATCAAAGACTGTTGCTTCTCCTAGAGTTATTGTAGTGGTTTTAACACCATTAAACGCAGCCTGGGAGCACAATACTCGAAGAAGCGCCTCTCTCAACTGCAATCTTTCCAGAGGCTGCATGCACTCAACAACCAGGACCTTGCTCCCAGCACCAGCTGCACAGAGGGGACCAGCAAGAGACCGCTCTCCCTGAGAAGGCCTCCAGCGACAGAATGACCCTTCGCCGAGCTTGTAACCTTTCCAGCATCAGGTTAAGACAGCTCTTTGGGCAAAGATGTTCTCACTTATCCAGAGACTCAAGGGGATTACGCATCCCAGGTGTTTTTCTTCAACAAGGTCATTCTCCACTGAATGTTTTCAGCATTTTAAATTTTTTATCTTGCTTTTGATAAGAACGTACGGTCTCCCTTAATTGCATGGTATTTATGTGCTTCTGCAAACCACCCAGAGCGATTTGGCTGCTGGGCTGTACAGATTTGAAAGGACTCCCCATGATAACATGGTCCAGGAGGCCTCTTTTGACTCGCTATGTTTCTACAGCGTGTCTTGTTTTTCTTCAATAGGCCCTTTTGGGAGGGCTCTGGATATTTTGTCCATTGCAAGGCTGTCCTAAGGCGCAGAAAACTATAAAGAGGAAACTGAACACGTTTGACCTGCAACGAAACACCTACATTCCCAAGTGTCAACCAGACAGACCCTTTCCCAGCATACTCCATTCCACTTTTCCTCATCCTGGGCCTCCACACACAGCATTTACCTGGCATTCTGCTACTGGGATGTTTGTGGGGGGTTTCCGTGGTCCTCTAGGCTTCCCCCACACCCTGAACAGTTTTGTACTTTTGCAAACCTCAGGTTTCCCGAGAGCAGGCGAATGCTCCTCTTGAAGGGCTGGCACTGAGCTAATGAATTTGCTGTGAGTATTCTAGACTGAACCGCCCTCGTTAATTGTGCCACTTTGGTTTATTTTCATCATCATCACCACGTATTTATTTATAGTGCACCATCAACCACTCACGGATGACACGGCCGCAAGGGGAGACAGAATTCCCGGCAAAGCTTTCGCGGGGGCCTCGCTCTTCTGGTGTCGAGGAGGGGAATCGGCACTCCAGGGGCCGAAGACAGACTGAAACAGGGGTTGAGACACTGGCAACTTTGGAGGGCAGTGTCCGGGGCTTCTTTCCCTGATGGCTGGAGTGGAGCCCAGGTGGCCTTTTAGGCTCAGAAGCAGGACAATAAAGCTTAAAGGGCGTGATTCTAGGCACCCTGAGACAGGAAGCCGGGTGTCCAGCTCCCCGCACGGCCCAGCCAACCAGCCACGGTGGCCGCCAAATGTCCCTATGCTTTTACTTCAGTAAATGCCCATGGGCAGCAGGCAGCGCTCCAAAAGGAAGATTCGGGGCCCAGCCTGAGCGAGCCAGCCCTGACACCACCTCTGCCTTGTGGGTTTCACTGAAATCTGGGCCTGCAGGGCTGAGTTTCAACGAAGCGGGTGATGAGAGGGACCCTGCAGCCCAGGACCCTGGGGGTGGAGCCGAACCAGCTGCGCCATGCACTGACCTGGCAGAAGGCAAGCGTCCTTTCCCATTCACCCATCTAATTCCTATCGCACCCACTGCTGCCTCAGTCGACACCACTGCCCCAAAGCAGGGGCCAGCAAGTGCAGACTGCCCCCCGTCACGTCTGTGCTGCCCCAACCTTGACCGGGCCCCTGAGCAGGGCCCCCTCCAGGGGCCCCACCTGCCTGTTGGGAAAATACACCAGCGGCCCGTCCAGTTCCAGGAGGCGATGATGTCCGCTGGATGAATGCAGCCGGGGCACGGTGCTGGATTTGGTCCAGGGAGACCAATTCCGTGCATTAACCCAGAGGGCTGAAGAGGAGGGGCCAGAGAGTTATGGGCAGGGTGGATGCAGCAAGTAATGCAAAACCAAATGCGACAGATGGACGGACGGACGGACGATGCCTGCCAGGCAGGAGGCCTCAGGTTCTGTTCTGGCATCTCCAAGCAGAGCTGGAAAAGGTCGCTTCCTGAAACGCTGGATCGTTAGCCAGTCTAAGTCCCACTGAACTAGAGGGACCCACACTCTGACTGGGCAAGAGGGCAGCTTCCTGGGTACCAGTGGGCAGCCTAACCCCCATCTCAGCGCTGCGCTGATGCACTGCAATGGGATAAGCACAAACTACCTGTGGGGCAGATGAGCATTTATGAGTTTGCTAGAACTTTTGCATCCCGACACTGGATCCCCAGACAGGATCCCACCCCATGCACACTCCAAAGCAGCTAACCATCAAATAAAAACAAGGAATAAAATCGCGATGTTATAAATGGCTAGCAAAGATCTTCCAGCAGCACAGAATGAACAACCTGGAGCAAGGCCATCTCAGACCAATCTAATCCGCCCTTCTTGGAAAAGCAGCATTTTAAAGCTGGTGGCAAAAGGGGGGTGGGAAGATGCTAGCCAGCTCTCAAGAGGCTGCAAGTTCCACAAATTCAGCTCCCTTTTCTAGAAGAGAGAAATAAGACCGTCACCCTTTCCCCTCCTGAGGGATCAGTTCCTGCAACCCACTAATGTGCAAACCAGTCATTCCAGCTCGTCATCGCTCTGAGTTCGTCTGCCAAGAGGACGCTCTTTTGGATGCAGGAAACGGCAGCAGCCATTCCGGCGAGCCGGCGGGAAACTGTGGTCATGTGACCTGCCTTTGCATTGTTCAAATGAGGCGAGAAACCGGCCAGGAGCGTGCGCAGAAGGGGCCAGCGCTCTGTGGGGGAGGCCAAAAAGCGAGCCGAGTGTGCACGGGGCTGCCCAGCTCGATTCATTTTGCTGCCTGTGCGACCGTACTGCTCTCTCAGGTAGCCTTCCTGCTTTCCCAGAGCATGCAAAGAGCATGCAACTGGGTGAAAAAGGAGAAGGAAAGGCCATTTTTCATCTAAACCCGGCTGTAACGGCTGGTCGGAGGGCAGACTAACCAAGCGCCTGAGATGAAGCACAAGCCAGGAAATGTCCAGTGCAAAACTTTAACGCTCCCCATGAAACCATCATCAGGTACCCAAAAATGGGCCAGTCTCTCTCTTGCCCTCGGCCTTCCCCGTCTGCAATATGGGTGCATGCACACTGTCCTCATACCCAGCACTTTTACTGGATCTCTGCGAGGTCCTTCCAAGCCTGTTCGTCTGAGATCTTTTAAGCGGGGTTGCTAAGGGTGGAGGACAGGGCAGCTCCATCCCTGCAGAATGCACGGTCCACCCATGTGCCACAGCTCCCTCGCCACAGCTCTGGAGGAAACCGGCTGTGAGCCGCCACGGGGTGCTTGTGGAAGCGAGTGACAGGGAACACACCAACGCAGTGAGGGCCAGGAGGGGAGGTGGGAAGCGGTCCTTACCTTTAAAGAATCAAAGCAGGCGATGACACGGCCGTTCTCCACATGGCAGCTCCGGGAGGGGTGGGCAAACTTGCACTCTGTGTCAGACCGAGAGCAAGTGCCTCGCTGAAATTCTCGACAGACTTCTAACGTCAGCCATTTTGTATCACGGACCAAAGAAACGTTCACAGCCATATTAAAAACTACCCGGAAAAAAAAGGGGAAGGAAAAAGGGGGAATGAAACACGAGCAACACCACCCTTTTTCCGCAGAATAGTACTGCCGATTTTTTTAAGAGGAAAAAAAGTTTAAAAAGGGAATTCAAGTTTAAAAACTGTGAAGAAAGAACTAACTTGTTGCTTTGGTAAAATTTCTATTCGTCAGCACTTAGGTTTCCATTGAACTCAAATTGTGTTTGTCGAAAACAAGGATGAAACATAAAGCCAATCATAAAATAGAAATCTCATCAGAGTTAACTCAGAAATCAAATTAGAGGCCAGCTCCTAAAAAGTGCAATTGTCGAAGTTAAAATAGAAATGTTATATATTTATATATATTTATATATATATATATATAATATTTGTGCCACTGCCAAAATTATTTCAAAATAACTGGCAGACTTTTATTTTCCTCCAAGGATTCTGTGCTCTCCAGTTATTTCAGCAATCCTCAAAATGCAAAAACAAAAAACAGAAAAAAGCCTCAGCTGCAGGTTGAATGGAATGCTTTCGTTTCTTGGCGGGGAAGGAATCTTTTCACAAGTTTCGACTCTTCCGTCTTGCTTCTCAAAATCCAACAACGTTGCAAGTACTCAAGCCAAGCGAAGAAAGGTTATGATTTCCTTTTCTTTTGTTTGCTTTGCTTTTTTTTATTTTTAGAAGAAGAGTTGAGTTTGCTACATAGTCAGGAGGAAGGGGATAAAAGATGGCTGAGCAAATTGAGTTGTAAAGGGGAAGGAAAAAAAGATGGTCGAGTTACTGTCGGGATGTGAACAGCAAGCAGCACCCAACGTAAAAAATGAATCAGCAAAAAAAGAAGGGAATATATATATGGATATATATATTTTTAAAAAGCGAGCGTGGCAAAGCCCTAGACAGCAGTGATGATGCGGGCTTCAAGGAAGGCACTATCCAGCAACCTGCGGAAGAGAAGAAATAGAATCAGCTAAGCCAAGTCCGAACCCACCCTCCGGCTTCCAACTCCTGTTTGGAGAAGCAACTGGAAATGCATTTTAACAGGAGATCTCCAGATACGGACAGTGCAGCGTGCCGAAGTCGGCCATGGTAGGTGTTTTCCTTAATAAAAAATAATAGAGAGAGAGAGAGAGACAGAGAGGGGGAGAGAGAGAGAGACAGAGAAGGGCATTTCACACACAAAGCTGCACATGGTAGCGGGGAGCACCCAATCGCATTTACCGTTGCAGCAGAAACTCTGGGCAGGCATCCAATAAAAAAGATGGTTTCATATTCATCTACGTCTGGCAGGCGTCCTCCCTCGCTCTGGCTCTCCCTCGCTCGTTCTCTTTCTGTGCCCGCTACGCCTCCGCCTGGTGTTGCGACGGGCGGGCGGGCGGGCGGGCGGGCGGCCTCTGGTGCATCCGTGATGTGCCTCCGGGTCCCCACCAAGAGCCCGGCCGGCGCGGGCTCCGTTCCGCGTGTGCCGCCATCACCAGGAAGGGAGCGGTCCGCGGCCCTGCCGCGAGCCGCCGACCCCTGGGAGCAGACACGATCCCGCGAGCCACCGCTGAGCCCTCACTCTCGCTCACTGCCTGCCCCGTCCGCCCCCAGCGCACGCAGACGCCGAGTCCCGATACCGCACCCTCCTGCAACCCGGAGCGGCTGGCTGTGGCAACCTGCCATGACCAGAACGCGGCTTGACAGAAAACTGGGTGGGGAAGCCTCAGCCCCAGCGGCCTTGGCAGACAATGGAGGAATCAGCCGCCATCTGCTCTTTTCTCTGCACTATAAATCCTCGGGGAAGGAAAGGGTTGTGTACATGGACGTCTGGCAGACGAGCGATTTCTGTCCCCTTCCACTAGCAAACATTTACAGCTGGGAGTCTAGATAGCCGCCTAAAGCGAACCAATGCAAACGGGAACCAAGGCTGCCAGTCCAGCGCTCGTCTCGCCCCATTAACTGCTCCGCATCCGTCATGGACTGCGTTTAACCCCCTGCTCACTAGCACAAGCTCGGCTGCAAAAAACGGAGAAAACTCCTTGGACAGGCAGATTTTCCTTCCTGGTGAAACCAGGAGGAACACCCAGGAAGAAATCCAAGCCTACTTCGGAACAGAGGAGTCTGTGCATTTCTTTTTCTGTGCTTCTGGAATATTTAACTCCTTGCTATTAGCTCCGTATCGGGGCTGGCCTGTTCGTGCAATTCCACATTTCGACTCTTCCCTCTGAATGCTCCGATCGAGGCAGCTGCAGCAAGAGTGCAGCAGCTCAAAGCTGCGGTGGAGAGGTTCCCCACGGGGGGTAGACCATTGCTCCGTGGCCAAGCACATGCACCAGGTCCCAGGTCCGACCCCTGGCAGCTCCAGGTAGGCAGGAAAAGCAACCGCTTGAAAGCCAGGCATGCTGTGCCCACCAGTGTGGACAACAGACCAGAGGTCCAACTCCACAAAAGGCGGCTTCCTCTCTCGCCCTGTCTACGTGTTCAGAACGTCAACATGCATCAGCCAGGCAGTGGGATCAATGGTGGGGAATGCAGAACTGAGGACCAAGGCACCTGCCCCTGCCTGCTACCTGTCAAATTCACGTGGTCTGATGAGTCCGGCTTTTGCTCTTCCTTGGCCCACCTGGAGGCCCACACAGGAGCAGAAGCCCCCCGGGGGGCAAGTGCCTTCTGCAGCCATTTCTCCCAGGAGCTCCAGTGCGACTTGCTCATTTGGATTATTCAACAGCATTTACGGCCCGCCCTCTCTCTCCAACTCCAAGGGGTTCCAGGCATCTTATAAGACAGACACTAATTTATTCATTAAAAATGTCCTTTCAGTCACAATAGAAACTCTAACACGAAAACAGCAGCAGAAAACCAGCAATGTAACAGAGATCAGGATATGTGGCGGCAACCAACTACAATGACCTGCTAAAAGCCCTTTATCAGCATTCAAGCAGCTGGCAATGGGGAAGCAAGATACCCCCCCCCCCGGGGTGCAGCCACCAAAAAGGCCCTCAACTAAATCCAGGTGTCTCTTGGGTGTTCCTGGGGAATCCCAAGCTGGCCTCCTGCAATCCCAATAAGCAGATGGGCAGGAAAGGACACGCTTTCTATCCTGGTCCTAAGCCATTTAAGGCTTTGGATTATACCCAGAGACTGACTGGAGGCCAGTGCAGTGTGGTCAATCCAAAAAGCAGATCTCCTCCTTTCCTTCTGCTACCTCTGTTAGCAATTGGTTCATAGCACTCTAGACCAACTGTGGTTTTGGAACATGCTTCCCAGACAGCTCTGTATCAAGCTCACAGCAATCATTCTGATGTGATGGAGGAAAGCCACACTGGCGAGACCTGCAGTGCTCAGCAATGCATGCCCTTGTTTGGGCACAGATGTTCCTGGCCACAGGTGGCCACCACATATTTGGGGTCACAGCCGGTTCCAGACGGCAGACTTGCATTTTCCAGGAGCTGCACCCCATCTCACACAGCTTCATCTGCAAATGCTGGGCCAGGTTCATGGGCCTACAGAACTTCCGCCTTCCCTGGATCTACCTTATTTATTTATTTAAAACATTTCTATGCCGCCCCACTGCAATAAAGCCTCGGGGAGGCTCACAAAACATCAATAAAATCCCAATACAATAAAACCCCAGTGCAATAAAACCTCAGTGCATTCTCGGCTAAAAATTAAAAAAAAACAACCCTAGTTAAATAAATAAATTAACAATTAAAATGACGCTTAAATAAAAAGGTCTTAGCCTGGCGCCGAAAAACAAATAACGACGGTGCCAAGCGGACCTCAGCCAACACTGTGTCCACTACCGTCTCTGGATATGGCCAGTGATGACCTTCCCAGAAAGAGATGGGAAAGGAGGACATTGGGGGATGACTCCAAACCTCCCAACCCTGAACAACTTTCCCCAGTAGCTTCATGGAGATCTTAAGCCGCATGGAGGACAAGACTGAAGCGTGGGGGAGACAGCATGGATAAGGGCCTGCCACCCCCGGCCCCTCTTCCAGCTTTCCTGCTCCCATTGCAAAAACTGCAGCAATTTTGCAAGGGAACAAGACACAGTATCAAGCTGCATCTCGAGAGCTGTAATTTGGGACTCTGTGCTTTGGACTGAAGTGTATATTGTCCTATTATACAGCCCCATCTGGTTGTGTTCACACAGCCTCTGTGTCTCCCACAGAGTCGGCAACGGTGCTGGAAGAGGCTACTGAGACTGCGTCCATTTTTGAGGGAGGTGGGATCCAGGCCAGCCTTTTTCAACTGGGTGCCCTTCACATGCTTGGGACTGCGACTCCCAGAATGCATGGCCATTAGCTAAGGGGTTGGGGAAGTCCACATCCTGGTGGGAAGGCTGGTCTAGAAGGTAGGACTGAAAATTCGGCACATGGGAATCTGTGTGCTACTTTTCTACAAATGTTCCAGAGTTTGCCATCTGTTCAAATTCCATGGTGAATTCAGGCCTAAAACAAGAGCAAGCATTGTGGATGGAGAAGCTGAACCAACAAGCTGACTTAATTACAAAATCGGGCACCAACGCTAGCTGGGGCAGGCATTACTAAGAATCTTACGGGTAACCTTATGCAAGTTTAGGAGGAAAAAGGTCTACTGAGCCTTACCCTTACTAGCATCCTGGTCTTTTTTTCCTTGCCTCACCCCATTTGTTTGGACCCACCAAGCATGGAACGCAGCCCCAGAGCGTCTCCAAAACAGAATCCAGCCCTTGAATTGAAGGGCGCTTCCAAGCCTTGCTGAATGGGCCACAGGGCTTGAGCACGAGGAGAAAATTCACGCCTGACTGTGTTGAATACCGAGCCACATGGCACCAGACTCCTTGCTTGAATCTAACACCAGTGGGAAACGGGCTTCTGTTGGTGCCAAAAACTGGGGGGGGGGGGGGGGCAAAGGAATTGTTCAGTACGCTGAAGGTCAGAATGCCCCACTGCTTTTTTCCTTTCTCCAGCCAGTTGTGGGTCTTCCGTGGCGACATGTTCAAGATTTCAAAGGGCAGCTCTCCAGACCTGTGCAGTCCTACCTGGAGAGGACAAGGGTCAAATCCAGAACCCTCTGCTTGAAAGCAGGGGCTTTCTCATTGGACCTTGATTTTACCCCACAATTCTCTTCTGAAACAAAAGGGAAGCATCTCCTCCTCACCCCAAAATGACACGACAAGTATTTCCCACTGCACAATGCTCAATACAGAGCAGAGACGGCAGATTTATCGCTTAAGTTACACACTCTGAAAGCAAGGAAGTGAGATATTTTACGGTTTGGTGATTTAGTTTAAGCAAGAATGAAAGGTGGGAGTGGAAACTTTCTCCAGGCCAACCCTCTTCTCACAAAATGTCTGGCAAGCCCTTTGAAAAACATCCTCATTTCAATTTGGAGCTCCTGGGCCAGCAAACTCTAATCAGCGCATGAGGAGGTGGCATGGAAACAGCTCTGTAGCCGACAGCAAAGCTGCAAAGCAAGCCATCACAGGCTGCTGATGGGTGGAGACAGGTGGAATTCTGCTAGGACCCAACCGAGAAAAGCATCTGGTGGGTTTCCTGCAAGCAGAAGAGCATTCCCCAGCCCTGGAAGTGCCAAGCGAAAGACGCTCCTCTCAAACCTTTCACAACAGCCTCTCCTTCGAGATGTATTTGCTTCAAGCAGAGGCGCACCAGTTCTGCAGACCGGGAAGGCACCCTCCAGCCAAATGGGAACCATTTTACTTTCGAGCAAAATTAGGCTCTTGGGAAGCTTCAGTGAAGACCTACCTCTTATTTTTAAATTTTATTTTGGACTGCCACAAATTCACCAGCAAGAGGACTTTTTGAAGGCCACTAAAAAGGTTGGGTGGGGCATTCGGTCTGGTTGTTGCCCATTCTGACTGCCCTTCTGTAAACAAAAATGGACGGCATTTTCTACACTGACTCGGCACCAGGGCACCTGGGCACACTCCTGGTCCCTCCCGATGGCTGCGTCAGGC